CAAGCCGCTTGAGGCTGTCAGTTTTTTCTTGTATCTTTTATTCTGTAGTGCTTTTCACCTGCTTGAGCGTCGTTGTTCATGGATTTTCCTGCATACAAATACCATGAACAATTTTAGGGTACTTTGACCTGCTGGTTTCCAAAACCTGTATAGACGTAAAAAACCACAAAGTAGCGATGAAATTTCAGAAAATATCAGTTTTCAGCTTTATAATATATATGGTTATGTTCTAGGATGGGTTCTTCTGTTCAGTTTAGAAGACGTGGAGGCAGAAATACAGAAGAAACAGCTAAAAGAAATTCTGGCCTTTTTTGACTAGAATTCCCTTCAACTTTGAGCTTTTGGTTTGATATCTTGCCAAAAAATGAAATATGTGGGGGTTGGATGTGAAGTAGATTTTGTGACGTAAAATTGATTTTAGAGGTCATTTTCGATATCATCTTCAAAAATTGACGTTTGATTTTTGCTTATTGCGAAGGGTTTTTTTGATTGACAAGCTGCAATTTGTTCAGCATTTGTCAATTATTTCAGCTGTATTTTTTTTTTTTATTTTTTTTGTTAATACAGCGAAGGACGAAACAAACGTGGGTGAAAAGTTCATAACAAATTTGAATGATGTAATTTAAAGAGTGAATTTGGTAGGACGAGTTTGTATACATTTATGTATTTTTTTTTTTGCTGTTTTGCTTTTTTTTTTTTTGTTGCAGTTAGGTGAAGGGCAGGGTTAGCTGCTGAGAAGGCAAGTATTTACTTTCATTTTGAAACTTATATTTAAACAGTTGGAGTGTTACATTCAATGGCATCACTTTTAACAGCTGAGCAAGGGTAGAGAGGTTTGAAAAAAACAAACAGGGGTTGTATTATTGAATAGTGCAGCAATTATTATTCATATAACAACTACTTCTTCTTCGGAATTTGCTTCGTATAAAGCCGTTAAGCAGTATATAGAATAGCGTAACTGAAACATAAATTTTTTTTGCTGTAGTCAACTATTTCTATTATTGTTTTACTTTCACAAAACAAGAAAACTTGACAAGATAATCAAAACAGATTTTTTTTTTATTATTTGCTATACCGGTTTCTCAGTATTAGTAAATGTTCTACAAAAATTTGGAACTCATAATGAGTGAACCTCTTGATTTTGGTTCGTGTATAAGATAATGAGAAATAATGGCTTTGTTGTAATACCGTAGTTATTTTCGCATGAAACAAATTGTGCTGCTTTTTTTTGTCAATTAAGCAGGTTGAATAACAGCTGTAAGCATCAGTTTTTATTTATGAAATTTTCACTAACAAACCTTTTGAGTCTTATTTGCTATTGTCTGACCAATTACTTAGCTGTGACTTTTCAGATGCTTTTGTGAACAGCCAGGAATGGACGTTGAGTCGAGGTGTTCCCGAATTAAGACTGGTCAGTTTATTTCTTCATATTTTTTTCGTCTGTTTATTCTCTTTTGTCACAAATAGTCGTGTGCATATCTGCTGTTAAATGTCGCTGGAATGGTTTACGCTAAATTTTGTTGCACCGTTAATTTTTCATTTTACTTCAGAACTGATTAATTTTGGAATGAAGAAAGTTTAAAAGGTAGTATGTGTAGATGGGGATCATTCACTTTGAAACCTCTTGTCTTTTTTTTCTTTTGTCAGTCAGCAACAGATTCCTTCAGTTTATTCATTTATTTTTAGGTTTATTTCATTAAATGGTAGATTTTACAACATTATATGTTTATTTCTTGAAAGAGTTTTATTTGAAACCTACTAACCTTCTTAGCCGCATATATTTTTTGACGGGATTCTTCAGATTTTTGGTAAAATATTTTATTACTAAAGCACTGGAACAACAGAAATCACTGAAAGTATTTTCAACACTGTGTATTTTGAAGAAGAAGAATTTTTTTAGTTTTAAAATTGCAAGCAGCTTACGATACTGTGGTAGCGGGAGGGTGGGCGGCGCTAAAAGGAGAAGGAGAGAAAGCAATGAAAGAGATATTTAACATAAATACAAAAAGGAGCATGATATTATGGCAGTTTATTAGTAGCGTATTATTGACTTTAAAAGTAAAAACTGCGAAACTGGTGGCGCAAAGACTTTTCTCCTCTTTTTCTAATTATTTGAAAAAAAGCAGCGATTACTACGCATTAGAAGTTTCTTTTTTTTTTTTTTCACAGAAAGAAAAATTGTTTGCATAGAATGGCGTTATCCAAAACTAGGATGACTAGTGTAAGCAAGCCGTTTGTTGTAGGCAGATATCCTCTCGAAACGTTTAACACGTTAGCTGCTTGTCTTACAGTGAGCGTAGAAATCGTGTGGTTATTTGTTCTTGCAAAATCGTCTTTTTTCATTACGGGAAGTTTTTTTGGTAAGGAATTTTGGCTTTAAGCCTGTATTTCTTAGGTGTTCATGCTACTGTGCTCTGTAACAAAAAAAAAAAAAAATGTTTTTTTGTTTTTACTTGTGAAAACTTTCTTGTTTCAAACATTTCGCTTGAATAGACAGTTTTTGAAGGTTTACGTGATTGGAAGCTTGTTTCTCCAGTTGCTATTGGGGAGTTCTTAGAAGCTGTATATTTGATGAATCTTACCTGAACGGAATTATAAAAGGAAGTAGTTAGTGTGAAAATGTTAGTTAAGTAATTTACTTTTCAAGATTCTTTTTTTTTTTTTGCTTTATCTTTTAAGGTCCAGTTGTTAAGTAATTAAAAGAATGTTTGGAAATTCTGCTGCTATCGGACTCTATCATTTTGATTAAACGGTTTTTTTTGGCATAAGTAGCTGAAAGGTCCTCGCAAAAATTATTTAGAAATCTTTTTTGCCAGGCATTCTGGTCTTAGAATTTTTTGAGAAGTGGAAGGGAAGGGAGGTGAAGAAAAAGTTTTTTTTTGAATGTTTATTCGTGTTCATTGGCGTGCATGGATGACATTCAGAATTAATGTTTATTGTATTGGACAGTAGTGGTTTTTGCCTAAACTGGTTAGTGCGAGGTCAGACTGGGTTTTTCGACTAGAATTTTGATGAGGTACGAAGTAAGTATGTGAGGAGATGTAGATTGATTTATTGAGGATGAAAAAAGTAAAAGACTTTTTTTGTTATAATCAGAGTTTTACCCTGGATCGACGAGAGGTCGAATGACCAATTGCGTTAGTGTTGGTGATTGTAATGTTGATTCATTTTTGGAGGTGGGAACTAGTGAATCAAATTTTTCATTTTGCTGCTTCGTTGAGTTTCAACTTCTTTTGCCGCCATATTCGTCATATTAGCAGTCAGTAACCATTAAGTTTCAACAATTGTATCTTTTTTGTTCCTTTATTATCACATAGCTATTTTATCTTTTTTCATGCTCCGATATTTCTTCTCCAATAATTGCAGTTGAAGAAAGCGGATTGGTGCACTTGATCACTGCTATAATCATAGTATTGCTGACAAGTGTTACTACAAATCTTTACTGGTATTTTTTTTTTTTTTTTTTTTTTTTTTTTTTTTT